TTAATATTATCAAGGAGTGCAAATTAAACCATTATCATTGCCCAAACTGAGGTAATATAAGGTGTGATGGGGGGAAAAGCTTCCTAACCTCCCTAAACGGCCATATGCATGATTGCCTTTATCTTTCCGACTTCCATCTGCCTCATTAATTCTATTCCTCTAGCAAACTTTTCCACCCTGTGAATCTAAATTGACCCAAAACAAAAGGCTGTGTAGAAATTTTAGTTTTTCCAGAATGCTCTCTCATCTCTTTTTTCCCTCCCAATCACTAGTATTAGTAAATAATTTATATATTTTTGTTTTAGGACATTAGTTTTCTTCCCTGGTTCCACAGTAATTTCCTTGAATTTTCTGAAGGTATTTTAAAAAATGCAATGATGTGCTGGTATAATTCAAGTAAAACTTTTGCATATAATAAAACTTTGCTGACTGACAACAACCCTGTACTCTAGGACACATTAACTATCCAGCATTGACTGTTACAGACATTATCAAATCATTTCCAACTACATTTATGGGGAAATGAAAAAGTTTTGCCAATTAATTATTAAATATTTTCAACTCATTAGTTCAAGTAGCACATGAGTTCTAATTTTCACTTCCAAAGTTTTGGATTAGAATATGAATTCTCCTAACTGTAAAGACCCATAATAAGCAGGCTAATATGACTTAAACACCTTGCAAATTCTTCCTAATAAGTCTAAGAATGCATTCCCCAACTATTAGGTAAGCTCAGTTCTGTCTACTGTTAAATCAGTAAAAGACTTTCCAAAGTTCCTGCCAACGTCTAAACCTTGCACACTCATCTTCTTTCAATTTACTGTAGAATACAAACAGGCCTCAATCTACTGGTGTGATGTGGATGTGAAGTACTCTTGTCATAATTTAAGAATGGAAAAGAAATCTAGAGCTGAAATGAGAAGTATTTTTCATAGCTTCACTTAACCATTCTACAACCAAGAATGACTACCTCTGAAGCTACTTTGTAGATCCTTCTAGTTATCACCCCTCTATTTTTACACATTCAAGTTTCTCAAAGCTCTGTGGAAGATCATAAAACTCTTACTCCCAATGCAAAAAACAAGTCAAGATATTAGAACAACTACTGAGGAAATTTTCAAGTTGATCTAAAAATTGAAGTCAGAAACTGGTATGAAAGATAAATGAAACAGAATACAAAAGATCTGGCTCTTCTGAAGCCAATGGAAATCAAGTCCAAAGATAATCACAGAAAATTTACCTGATGTAGAAACTTAATAGTGTAAATGAAAACTGTACACTATGTCTCAGGAAAAACATATCTAATTCTCATTTCAAAGTGGAAGAGAGAAGAAAGCAGCGACAAGAGGAGCAGCTTGAACAATGTTTGGTCCGTGACTTCCCTTCCACTACATTCAAAACAGAAAGCAGGGAGTAATGGTTACACAGTTGTTAGAAGGAAAAATGCAAACTAAGAGCTTTGCAGCCAGAAAATCTGCACTTAAGAGAACAGTTACTTCTAGGTCTTTTCTAGGGGGAAAAAATTATTTGTGATCTAGTCAATTAAGAAATGAATCAAAACAGTTAAGCTTATGCTGTTGTTATTGTTAGGTGTGGTTTAGTACAACTCTTAGCAATTCTATGATGGTTCACTTAAACTCTGCCCTAGCCTGTGCCATCCTCATCATGCCTGCAACACTGGAGTCCACGGCTGAAGTCACCATGTCAATCTACCTTGTTGAGGGTCTTCCTCTCTTTCACTGATCTTCCACAGCCTTTTCTAGCGACACGTCCAAAGAATGTGAGATTGAGATGAAGCTTTATCAATCTTTGCCTCCGCGGAGCACACTGGCTGTTTGTTCTCTTGGCCGTCATAGCATATTCAGGTACTCTTCTCCAGCACCACAACTCAAAGGCATCATCAATTCATCTTCTGTCATCTTCATTCACTGTCTAGCTCTCTGATGTATGAATAAGGCACACCTTACTCTTCAAAATGACATCACTGCTCTTCAGCATCTTGGAGAGGTCTGACAGCAGACTTGCCCAATGCAGAATGTCTCCTGATCTCCTGACTTGCTGGTGCCAAGGGTGCTAATTGTTTATTCAAGTAAGATGAAATCACTGACAGCTTCAAACCTTTCTCCATCTTTTATAGTGTTGGTCCTGTGGTGAAGACCTTTGCTTTCTTGATGATGAGATGTAATCAATACTGAAGTCTATGGTCCTTGATCTTCCTCAATCCAGTATGCATTTTAAGGCCTCTTCAGTTTCAGCAAGCAAGTTTGTGTAATCTGCATAATGCAGGCTGATGATGAATCTTCTTCTGATCCTAATGCTACATTCGTCTTCACAAAATCTAGCCTCATTATTTATTAGCTCAGCATACAGATTGAACAGCTATAAAGAAAGATGTAACCCTGACACACACTCTTACTGATTTAAAACTATATAGTGTCCCTTAGTGTTAAGGAACTGCACTGCCAACCCAAAGGTACACTGTTAGGATTCACAGCGGCTTCACAGGAGAATGATGTGCAATCTCCTCCTATGTGATTTACCATCTCTGAAAACTTGTTGTGAGTTGATTATGACTTGATGGTACTCAATAACAATTAACTTTCAGACCCGTAAGCTGTTTTGTGGGTGAAAGATGTAACAGTCAACTGTTGTAAATATTTACAGTTTTGGAAACTTTATGGGTGTTTCCACTCTATAAGGCTGATATAAGACTCAACATGGGGGTGAGGGGAGATGGGGAAGAAATTGTGAAATGAATGAATGAAAATCCAAGTTCTCTATAAACTTTCACTAAAATCTCAATTAAAAAAAAGAATCAACATGGTACAGCTCTTTGGTTCTTATTAACTTTAGAAAAAAATGTCTAGAACTAATCTCTATGGAAAAGAAACTACTTCAGCAATTTCTTTAGTTTCACCTCAGTTCTTCCCTTCTAAACAGAAATAAAAAGAAACTTAATGTTTGTTTCCAGTACAAACAGCATGATCCAACTTTTCTGAAACTATGTCAATGTCTACTAGCTGCAAAAATCCTCAAGTATTTAAAAATAAAGCTGTCACCTTGGGGACTAAGGTGCCCCTGACCCAAGCCTGTGTATTTTCAATTATCTCCTTTGTATATAAAACTTGGACAAAAATTGGTGCACCTGAATTAGTGTACTAGTGAAAAGATTAGACTTCCAGAAGAACAAACAAATCTGTCCTGGAAGAAGTACAGCCAGTGTATTCCATGGAAAGAGGATACATCCATCTCATATACTCTGTACATGTTATCAACAGGGAATAATTCTTGAAGGATTTCACTTGTGATAAAAAGAAAGGTTCAATAAAAAAAATTTCAAAGAGATGGACTAGCAGAGTGGTTGCAATAATGGGCTCAAACATAACTGTGCTCATGGGGAGAGCCAGGGAGTATTCAATTTTTTGTTCTTTTATGCACAGGGTCACTATCTCACAACAACATATGTCTAGAGGGGTGTCTGGAATTATAAATTGTAAGCAATTGTTGCTTTGGATGGTGCGAGTGTTTCCTTTCATACACTTCAATGTAATTAGTAAGTATATAAATTTTGTAAAATGAGTTTTTATTCTTAAAATACACAGCAAATTTCCAACTCTTAGCTCACAGTATTTGTCTTTCTCTACTTTCAACTGTTTTTCTTTATCAACACCTTGTTAATCAACAGTGATATAAGCTTCTGAATCACAAGCTGTTCTATTTTTTCTTTTCTTTATTCTTCAAAGCAAGCATGGTATAAGAAAAAAAGCAAAAGAAATATAATAAAAAATAATTTCTTTATCAAACTCTTCTACCTGCCTAGAGACATCCTAAAAAACCTCATCCAAAAAAACCCAAAGCAAAACCCCCACCTGTATATTGATTTAATCCTTCTAAGGCAATACTTTATTTTTTACAAATACAGTGAAATAATTTGCCTAGAAGCTCACATACCTAATAAAAGTCAAGAATATGAAAAATCTAGACCAGACTATAATGGTTAAGCTCTTAACCATTAGTTTTAGAATAAGACTGCTCTGAGTTCAAATCTCGACTGTTACTGGCACTGTGACCTTGGTCATGCAATGTGTCATTTTCAAAATGGGCAGATCATCATTCTACCTCATTAAGTGGCTTAAAAAAAGTTCTTGGTTCTATTATTTGGTATATACAAAGCATTCCATGCGGTGACAAGGTAGGACTTCCTGCAACACTAAGAACATCAATATGAGTAGGTTATAAAGGAGACTAACATTTTAAGTGCCAGAGACATTTAAATCATGTACTTCTGAATTTTAGTGAAAATTATTTTCATGTATCTTTTCAAATCTCTATACCAAACATCCAATATTAAAGTACTATTACGTACTATGAATATTTGGCCAAACAAAATAGATTAAGCACTTGATTATGAAAGGTTGTTATACTGTACCATTTAAAGTTGTCTCAGCAAATCAGCCCTATTTTGGGAAAATAATAATTTTAAAATTATCACCATCATCTTAAATATAAAATCATGGAGGAGGACATACCTAAATCCAAACTAACTTGATTTTACCCTCAAGTCTTACTTACTTTAAATAAAAACTTTCAAAACTTCTTTTGCTGAAAAAAATTTTCTTACCTAACAAGCCACAAGATATAGATTAAAATATAGCACTTAATAAGTAACCTAGCTAAGGTAAAAATAGATAATAACTTAAAAATATGAGATCTAATTGACTTTTGCAAAGAGGGAACTTCGGTAATTTATAGTTATACAAATTATCATTTTAAATAGCTAATCTGCTCCATTGTAATTTCTACACATAATCCTTTATTTCTACTCTAAGTTGTAGCATAGGAACTTCTAGAGCTCAGTGTAGTACATTTAAAAAATGAGTGGGTTAAAAAAAAATGGAGCTTCAATGATCACAAATAAATCAGTGACATCTAACAGTCTAAAGAGATTTTGAAACTCCCAAGAAAAATCTACACCAAAGGGCATACTTGAACATGCATACCTCAAGTCATCACTGGGTTCTTTTGTTTCTGGAAGTTCCATGTACTTGGGGTCTGTTGTTTGGTGCTTGTCAGCAACGCTGGGATCGAGGCTTATCATGGGGACCTCAGAGGTAAAAGACAGCTCCCCTTCACTGGAAACTCCAAAGAGGTCTGGGTCATCTTGAATTACATCAATTAAGAGGACATCATCTTCATATGCTTTAAGGATATCTGGAAACTCCACTTTAATGTCAGACAAACTCTTAGACACTTTTTTACCATTATCTTCTGAGGAAATGGGTTCAGATGTATCTTGCTCATTAGAGCAGAAAGCAGGACTTTTCTCTACACATCCAGGATCACAAGCCAAAGTATTGTTCTCAACTGAAGAAGAAACAGCTTCTTTGTTAGAAACAGTATTGCCTAGTTTGGAGATGTGATTGGATGGTTTATTATCTCGTTTTGAGAAACCTGAAGAAACACTACAGGAATTTTTACCACAGAGTGAGTTAGAACTTGATCGTATTGGAGTCATGGTATTTGGTACTCTTAAAGATTGAGGTACTGAAGGTACCGTGGGCATATTTTCTTTATTCCTGTTCTGTCTCACTTCCGCAACAGATGAGTTGTCAAGAAGTTCTAGGGGACTATAAACATCTCTCTCTGATGACTTATTTGCTTCTTTTCCTTTTCCTCTTTTATCTTTAAGTAAAGGAATCTTAAAATTAGTCAGCCGGCCTGTGTTCAAGATCTTAACCAAATCTGGGACCTCAAGTGCTTGCTGAGCAATACCCGTTTTTCGATGAACAGTTTTGCCTATAGAGTTATTTGCTTCTTGGCCCTCCTGGGAAACTGTCAAATTAGGTTTTGCTGAATTCACTCTATCTTTTTTTTTATTTCCCATCATGCTTTGAGTTACACCAGTTAATCGAGTATCTTCAGTAGAACTGGAAACTACCTCTGGTCCATTTCTGCTTAGATCCTCTGATTTAACTTTATCATCACTAGTTGTAGGTTCCTCTATACCCACTGAAGTAGTTTCTATTGCAGAAACTGAAGGCAGACAGTTTCCATTAGGATTAATTTTTTCTTTAATTGATGTTTCACTGCTTGTTTCTGTTATGGAACTTTGTAACAATACTTCGGAATCAGTTAAGTGAGGCTGACTTGCTGGGTGTTTAAGAAAGTTATCTTGGTTAAAGCTTTCTTGAGATGCAGAAGGAAAGTAATTTGGTTCTGACAAAGCAGGTTTTTTCCAACAGTGGGCAACTGTTGTTCTAGCACATGAATAATAAGGCCAAATTCTCTTCCCAGTCATAGGCATTGTTCTGTGACAGCTTGATTTTGATTCATCAACTTCATTTCCCAACACTTCTTGTGAAGATTTTTCAGTATGATGGTTATCAGAAAACTCAGATGTATCACTAGGTGACTTTACTACTGCACTTTTTAAGGACTTAAGAGTTTTTTCTGACTCCACATTTTTACATACTAGTGGTTCTGAAGTAATCTTTGTTTCTTCCTTCAAAAGTGGGTCAAAGTTTTTCCGAGAGTTAGCATTTATATGATGTTCTGGACTTGGTTTTTCCCTCTCTCTTTCTGGGAGGCTTAAGGAATGATCTGTTGCAGAGGTTATGGTATGGTTTACTTTCTTCAAAACTTTAAAAGGGCCCTTTTTAGTCTCTAAAGTTTCTGTTTCCTTATATTCAGTACACATGTGGTTTTCTTGTAACACTAACTCAGACTTGTTCACAGTAGAAAAGCTCATCTCAGTAACTGTTTCATCTCCCTTTTCAGTTAACTTCATCTTTTTCTTTGGTTTTCTTCCGATATTGCTCTCCTCCACTGGATATTTCTTTTTTTCACTTTGAAGGCAGGAAAGCAAGCCATTATTTGTACTCTGGTATAAATAATTTTCTTCAAGCAGTAATTTATTCACTCCCACTAAATTTTCTTCAGTTTGTAAAAGTGGAGGAATACTATTTGCATTGCTCTTCTCTGCAAGCCTCTTAAGATTTTCTTTCTTTGAAGAATTTTCTGCTACATGCATACATCCACCATCAGGTTTATATTCAAGGTTGCTTTCATCATTACAACCCTTAAAATGGGGGAAACAATTACAATCATGTAACTTTAAAATAGAATTATTTTCTAATGCAGGTGACAAGCTGTTACAAGAATATTCTGGAGTATTCTTGTACAGTTCATCTTGGAATGCAACCTTAATATTTTGGGTAGCCTTACTTTCAGTTACTTTGAGAGGGAGACTCTCTGAACTTTTAGGTTTTTTAACTTGAATTCTTCTTTTAATACCATCAACCAAACTTTCCTTACTCAAAGACTGCAAGAAAGGCGTATTTTTAAATTCACCGCATTCGGGTGTTTGGGACGATTCCGAATTGGTTAATGATTCCTTCCTTACCAGGTTCATTCCTGGCTGTAGAACATCACTTGAAGCATCAGTAATTTTTCTTTTTTCTTTGGCTGGTTAAAACAATGAAACACAAGATTTTATATTAAGGAAAAAAGAATGTTACTGAAAAGAAAAACGCGTGAGGCCACCGGTCTTTATATGGAAGTATACTCTGAATTTTAAATAAATAGCTATTTTTCAATTAAAGAACTATGCCAAAAACCCAGTCTAGTATACAACCAATAACCGAAAATCTAACTCTCCCTATCATTCCAAGGGAGAAAATGGGCAACCTCCTCCAGCAAAGATTGACAATCTAAGAAACCTGATGGAGAGTTGCTGTGACTTGCCATTAACTTTACAGCAGTGAATTATGTGATTAGTAATGTTAGCCATTTTAACAAGTAAAATTTAAAAATTGCTCGAAACAGCACATTCTTTAAATTTCAGAGGATAAGCAAAAAACAACAAAAACCCAGTGTAAATCCTAAACCTTCCGGGTAATCCCTGGATCATCAATGCACATTATCCAAAGATGGGTCATCAGCAGAAATTTCCCTTAAAGCCCTGTTAGTGGAGGTTTTTAAAAGGCAAACACCTTTTAAAAAGAGCCGTCATACCTATCAGTAAAGAGATCGAAGATTTGTATGATAAATCCAGAATTAAGAGGTGCATTGCCAAGTGGACTGGGGGGAGGTGGATAGGAAGGAAGATGTGGAACAAGGAATGAATGAAAATCCAACTTTTCTGTAAACTTTGGTTAAAATAACAATTAGGCCAAATGGTGTGAATCCACCAGATGCTCTGCTGGAGAAGGAGGGACAATCTCCTCCTGTATCGGTCAGATCTGATTTGATGGCACATACACACAAAATAATAATTTTAAAAAATCATTAAAAATAATAATTTAAAAAAAGAGTGTGTGTGTGTTTTAAAAGAAGACTACTTGTTTCATAAAGAGGGAGCGCTGGTGGCCTGGTGGTTAAGGCGCTGAAAGGCTCATGATGCAAATCCACCAGATGCTCTAAAATGGAAAGATGCGAGTTACAGCCTCTGAAAACCCGCTGGAGGGTCAGCTATGGGTCAGTTCCCACTGGACGGTGCCCACGGGGGTGCAAAGTAGAAATGGGGTGCAATGGGGTGCGGGCCGCGGGCTTCCTTACTGTGCCGTCCTGGCTGCAGGGGCAGCTTAGCCTCCTTGACCGCTTCTCCGCCCCGGGGGTCCACACTCGATGGGCCTGCCTGGCCCCCCGCCAGGCCTCCCGGCCCCTCCACTCGCCGCCTCACGGCTTTCCCGGCCCCCGAGCACGGGCTCGGCTTTCCACTTTCCGCCTCTTCTCTCCCGGACCCCGGGGGCACCATCCTCTTCCTCGGCCTGCTGTCCTCGGGGCCGCAGCCCCCGTCCTCGCCCGGCGATGCCGGGGCCGCCCTCCGGCCTCGCCGCCTCAGGCCCTGCGCTTCCACTTCCCGCCCCCGGGCCGCAGCGGGGCCCTGAGCCTGCGGTCGTCGCATGCACCGATGGCCGCCCGGGGCCGCCGCGCAGCCGCTAACACGCGTCCTGGAAACGCCTGGGGAGATAGACGCCTGGGAGCGATCGCCCTCCGCCCGCTCCACCGAGACAGTCAGCCGGAAGCGGAAGTGGGCTCCGTGCGGCCTAGCCGACCTGACGCGCCAGGGCGTAACAGGCGGAAGGGCCTCGCGGGGGCGGAAGGGCCTCGCAGGGGCGGAAGGGCCTCGTGGACAGAAAGTTCTTGCGGGGGAGGGGGTGCGGTCGGGCCTGGGGGCTGGACGGGCCTGGGGGGGCGGACGGGCCTGCCTTGCGTGATGGGAGGGCCTCGGGGACAGAAAGTCTTCATGGGGGCAGGAGGGCCTTGCGGGGAGGAAG